TTTTCCGCCAGACGCTTCTAGTGTGGCAAGAGGTATATTTACCGTCACGCATAGTAACTTATCTTGATGGTTGAAACAATAAAATGTATTTTGAAAAAATACGAGAAAACATAATTTATTTCGATTTATATATTTCTTTCTCATTTATGTATGTAATTATGACGAATTTTATATATTATGCAAGCAGATGTATTATTTAGAATAAAGATTTGTTTTGAAACATACTGTGATAAACGAACTTAAAATTATTATATAATTTTAAATGTAGGAAATATTTTTGCTTTGTTCAAGATTGTCTTCCAGAAATCTACATCATTTCGCATTACCGATATATATTTTTCGTGCAAAATATGTTTTGTATAATGATATCTGCACCAGGTAGAATTTCGTTGAATAAACGTGGGTGGAATCGTTCGACCGAATCGAGAAATACATATATAAAGATGATTGCAATTATTAATGAGTCATCTTCCGGATGAATTCGCACAGCAGTTCTAATTATCATCTCAATGCGTTCGAGAAGTTTACTTCATCATTTTGTGATCGTTACCGCCGTTTTGCTCGCGCCCGCTCTATCTCTCCACGGGAGTGCTTGAATAAAACACCATCAAAAAATAATTGTCAGATATCTTAAATTATAGCCGGGAGACGCGCCCTGCGGGCGAGAATTTGCCTCTATTGTATACCGCTCTCTGTAATACGGTCCATTCCTCGTGACACTCGTCACCTGATTTTATCACGTCGTTAAATATCCCCGTCGCTCGTATCGACATCAACGACGCTTAATTGTGTATTTATTGTCGACGATGGAATCTCATCGTTTATGTCGCGCGCGTTCCCTCGAAATAGTTTTACGGCAATCGAATGCCGATCGTACACTCGACTCTCCTAACACTTATTTTTCGAGACACATGGAAGCGAGGACCGCAGGCACATAAGGGGAAAACACTAATAAACGCTAAAACATCGAGATATCCTAATAAAATACGTTTTTTTTTTTTAAATTGTGAATATTCCATAATAACTTAAGAGAATTGTATTTATAGAGACGCGATGTATAATGATAAATGAAAAATTGCTGAGACGCTTTTCATTATCATGGAATATTTACGCCATATCTCGTCATTTAATTCGAGCGAAAATTCGAGCGAAATGTCCGACATTTTCATCCAATGTCCCGTTACCGGAGTAAAATTTATTAAAAGCAGCAACAAGCTCGGCCTCATTGTGAATCGTGTCTCGTAATTAGAACTGTTCTGTGCTAATTATGATTACTGGCGCATGTACATGTATTCGGTCGAAACCGAAATTTATTCGTTGGAACAAACTCGATCGTTTAACAAAGATATATGCAAAGTTTTGGTGATTTTAAAATCAGGAGAATGAGATTCTCGCTTTCACTGCCTTGAGAAAAAGAAATAATTATTAATTTTTATTATTATAAAATATGATTCCTTTAAAATATCTCAAGATATGCAAAACCACGAAATGAGAAATAAAATCAAAGTTGTCATCACATTACATTCAGACAGATCCTTGGAGTAATATCCTTACTTTTTTTATTTCAACATTTACATTTTTCGAATATTTGTATACGCTTCGAAAAAATTATAGTTGCGAATAAAATGTTTTTGATATTGAATCTGTAATTACCGGATTATGATTTCTCGAGATGTCTCTCCCTTGTGACGCCGCTTTATCCATTAATTATCAAAGTTACGATGTAGATAATGACGCGTGCATTAAAATCCTCAAGGCATTCTCGATGGGAGGAGAAAAGCGAGAAATAGGCCAATAAAAATTAAATGATGATAGATTCGCTTATACTCGAGATTTTATTGGCATCGTCAAAGAGAAGGGGTTCGTATGTTCCCCCTTTAAAACTCGCTGCACGTAACAGACATTAATTCGAGGAGCTAGAACTCGCGAAATGCTCTTTCAGCGACATCGCGACCTTCACCGCAAGATTTTTCGATTTTTGCTGCAAATTGCAACGCGATTCGTAAAGAATAAAGTTAATAACACATTACGTTCGGCATGTAGAAATTAGGATATCGAGGAAGGTGAAACTTTAAAGGCGTAAGGTTGAAAATCACCGAGCTGGATCGATAGACGAATATCATAGAGTTTTTAATAATCGTATCGCATTGTTTGACATAGATCGACGAATATATTTACGTACAAGTAAATTCGGATTCCTCGAGCTACAGTAACTCTAAAGAACAAAGAAAATCGTAAAGCGAATTGCATAAATTATGATTCTTTCATGATATATTTCGTGATTCTGTGTAAGTATCCGACGTGCGCATAGAGCTACATGACGAATTATTATCATGTTGAGATACGCTACAAAGTTAAAATTTAAAAAAAAGACAAAAAAAATTAACGGTAAGAATATTTTATTTACAGAACCACATATAGTTATTAAATAGTCATTTTTAATTTAAATAATTTTTACATTTAGTTTTCGGTGATTTTTACGAATTTCATGAACTTTACTGGACATAAAAATGGAAATTATAAATCCTTCCTTTTCTACTTCCACATTGATGTTCAATTTGCATTTCTTTAATTTACTTTATAATTCGTTATTTTGCAATCGTATATGTTATTAATGTCTTTTCATCTTTACTTTAAATTTTTCAATCTGAATTAAAGAAATGGCAAATGGTAGCGTAAAAATTCGAGAGTAACAATCTTTATAAAATGCATCCATTAAATGAGTCTATTACACACTTCACTTTTGAAGATCTTAAATTTCACTTCCTCGACTGTAAAGTTTCGAACGAAGGCAAGCGGAGCTGTAGCACCGTTACAATAACGTCTTCAATTAACAAGTTTAAAAGCAACGAAGAGAACGTCCTCTGACGAGTCTGACGTTTCTCATTTTGCATAGCCGCGGCTTCATGACTAAAGGAGGTCGAAGTCGAAGTGCTTCGGAAGTTCGTCAGGTTCCGTAACGAAGGCGAATCGTGACGGCGCTTCGTTTTTCGCGGAACGAAAGAGAAGAGAGCCTTTCGATTTTCACTTCGCTTCCTTCCGCTAATCGCTCTTGATGTGGAGGAAAGCTGGGGGAGGGCGGATGGAAGTCGTAAAAAATAAGGTCGCTTTACGAGTATCGAGGAGATGGACATGTTCGCAAAAGGGCTGCGAACTCTCGCGCGAGTCACGGAAGGTGTCGACTTCATGAGAAATATGCATCACGCGAACCCCCATGTTACTGCAAACAGATGCACGCGGCACATTCTAGATGTATATATATATATACGCTCGTGTTAACACCACAAATCTCGATCGAATAAAACGAATAACCCGGAATTGTTCACTGTGGTATCTGGCGAGATAAAGTCCAACTGTTTCGCGTAGAGATCATAACGCCTTAACATATTTTCATATCGTCGCGTATGTGTGATAGGTGTAATTTTCATGGGAAAATTGATACCCTGTGAGCGTCACGTGACACTGCAATCATATGCCGAACACGTTCTCTGTTGGTCTTGTCCGAGTTATGGAACTATAGATCAGCTGTTGAGAAGAATATCAAATAAGTCTGAACAAAATTTAAACTGAGAAATTCTATCGCGTTTTATTTTTTGTATCTATGAATCTACGAATTTTGTATTAATTTATAGATAAAAAAGTAAAACTAATTTAATGCGAAATGTCAATGAATATGAGAGAACCCAATTTCGATGATGGATTTTTCGATCAATTTTCATTAGCGTTCAAACGTCACAAAAAATATGTATATTATATTAAATATAATATTTAATAAATTTTATCTACTTTATTACTCTTGATTCTTTCTCACCTGTTAAATGACAAGTTGTTTACCTGTCTCAATCTCTGGTGACATGTTTACAGATTCTAAAGCGATACGTTTTGCGAGTTGGAAGCGTGTGTATCGTAAACTCGTATTAAATATGCGGCACGTGTTGTCATCCGACATTATTGCCGATAGATTTATGCGTTAGGATAATGATATACATTGCGTATAATAATATAACTCGTCGATTATTCGCGTCATCGGGCTGTAAACCGGCCTGCAATTTAATATGCTAAGCGTGAGCGCGCGCGCGTGCTGTCGAGATACCTTACCAGTTATGCGTGCATGTACACGTATATGTACGCGTGGAATAAGCCAGGTGAGAAAAAGCAAAGGTTACGGGTGGAGACAGAGAGTCGGACTTGAGCGGTGACACCGAGTGAGAGAGAAAATTCTCCTGAATGTTGCTGCCAGGGACGATCCGTGAGTCACGACCGACGATCGACGATGACCTATGAATAACACGTACGATAGATCGTAGCCGAAGGTCTTTCCGACACGTTCGGAGCTCATTCACACGCAGATGCGCGCAGACTCGATACTCGGATATTTGATACGCAATAATCTAGCGCGTTTATCGATACGCGCTGCGTCAAATACCACGCGATTTGCTTTTCCAAACACAGAGAAGAAAAATCTGTGGATAAATACAATGCAATGTCGAAAGATATTCAATATTAATTTTAAAGATAAATTTGTTGTTTAATTTGAAGTAAATTTTTTTAAAGAAGATTATCGTCTCTTGTATCTTGATATTATTGTTTAAGATCGAGCATTAAGAGCATTAAAATATTTTTCAGATTGCATTTTTCTAAATTTTTTGCAAAATTAAACCATTGTATCTTGTAAAATATAATTGTATAAAAAAATTTCAATGTAAAACAAGCTAGCTCTATTCCAACTCCACAAAGAGATTAATAATTAGCGACTATGGATGGGATTGAATAAATGCTGTGGAAGAACTTAAAGAGCGGCTTCTCTCAGACATGTCGCTCGAAGGTACAATTTGGCTCTAATTAGATTATCGCCGATGACAGTGGTGGGTCGCCAAGCTCGCTTTCCGTTTTATTGTTGCCCCAAAGAGGACTACTGACTCATATAGTCTCGGGAAAGAACGCATTTCGAAGGGTGGTGTAAAGTAGACGGCGGGATAAATTCGGTCGGAATTGCGTACCTGTTGGTGTCTGCGGTGCATCGAAAAAGGGATCGGTCGCGTCTTCGGTTCTGTGTGGTTCTCGCCATCATAAACTCGTTCCTATTCTTCACCAGATGGTGGTGAATCTTGATGCGTGTCGTGTTTTGTGGTTTTACGGCTTTTCCAGAATTTTAAGGACCACACTGTAAATATCTGAGAAAATAGTCGCTGATAGACATCCAAGCTCACGCTTCCTACTTGTTTTTCGACCTCGACCTTCTAAACAATAAATAGGTTTTCTCCAAAGTGAATGATGCGGCAATAAATAAAAAACGACAAAGTTCCGTGTGTTATTCCACCGTCTTACGTAAAATGGGTTAGAGAGGTCGATGGAAAATTTCAAAACACATTATGTCAACTGGAAGGCAATACAAAGAGATTTAAAATTTAATGTGATATAAATGTCTGTTTTTGATGATACTTTCTTGAATATTATCAATGCTTACAGACATGCATGAAAATGTTGTAATTTAAAAATTTATGTATTCAAAAATTCAAAAATAATAAAATAAAAAGTTAGAGTTACAAATTACTATTTAATTCAGGTAGGTGAAATTCACGAGCAACAACTATGTATCAATTTTAATTTTATACAAGTCTAAAAAAATAATTTTATACTTTATACTCTATCTCTATATTTATTTGTTCAATACTCGATCTTCTTCGGAATATGATATTTCTCTCTTGCACACGCGATATGTCCGTGAAAGAGAATCTAAATACATTCCCGTTTGAATATCATCGCTACTCTGTTCTAGAATATCCGTCGTTTATAATGGTCGAGCGATCTCTGATTCACGCTCCGTTTCTGATCGCGCGTCTCGCGACGACGTCCCGGTCCCGGCCCGTCCTCCGTTTTGAGGTTCCCTCGGTCTGTCGCCTCGTGGAACGACCGGTTGACAGTTGACACCAGTTTGACAATGCGCCGCGCTTTGCCATTGTTGGGAACCGCGTGAGCGTGCCGGCTTGCCATTGTTGGGACGTCGCGACGCCTTCATTCTCCTTCTCTCTCTATCTCTCTTTCTCTCATTCCTATTTGCTCTCCTGTCCGTAAGTTGCTCTCTTCGTTATGAGCATGTACTTTGCTCTTGTCACTTATATGTTGCAAAATTTTCTTTTTCCGTTTCGTTATAATTTAGATGGATGCTCATGATTCATATAGCTCTCTCGTTTTATTTTTATTATAATGCTTCGAGAGGATTTTTTGATTTCTCTGATATAGATATTTTTTTTCTTAATATTTCCGTCTTTCCATTATTTTCTTAGCTCATTATTTATTTTTATTCTAATTATATTCATGACACTATATACATGATATATATTTCATAATTACAACGATACTGTGGAAACTATTTCACTGTAGTTTAATCAACTCTACTCTTTCACGTTTTTTAACTCCGTCTCGTTAATTCGTACCCATTGCTCCTCTCCATTTGCAGCCGCTATTTTCGCGCGTACTCTCTTCTCCTCTTTCTCTTTTTCCGTCCCCCGCGGTACACGTGTAAGTGAATAATTCAGTGACAGAGATATAGCCGGAATTCGCGACGCGCCGTCGCTGTCGGCCGCACACGGACCCGCAGCGACAAGTTACACAATACCGACGTGACGCGCCCCTCGATTTTTCGCCTTTTATGCGAAACGGCGACGCGGGGGTGGCGTCGAGCTCCATTGTGGTCGAAGGGACTCCGCTCGTGGCCAGAGTCGCGCGCGTACGCAGGGGAGCGTCGCGACGCGGGTTATACGTTCGACGCACCGTAAAAATTGAAATGGGGCTCGCGTGGAAGCGTCATGTCGGGAGAACGAATGACAGGATATCCTTCTCGTGCAGTAATTTACGTTAAAAAAAAAAAAATCCCGCACACCTGTGCTCTGATCTCTTGGTGGAAATTTGATATAAAAATTTTTCAATTGAATGATATCTCACGAGAAAATGCGATGAAATTCGCTTTGTTTTTCAAATAAATATGCATTCGAAATTAATCGCAAGTCTGCTGAGTAGATTTGTATATGCGTATACTTCCGTATTGCAATTCCTTACAATTAAAAGTGACTGGAAATTTCTTAAAAACGACGTAAGATATGAATACTTATTTTTTTTTAAATCGTAAATATTCACATAAATAATAATATCAGTTTGTTAAAAATGTGATGACTTAATTAAAATCTTGTAACTCGATCTTTGACTGTCCCAATAGGCCCCTGCATTAATTAGCTATAAAGGTTGCCCTGTAATTTCCTTTGAGTCATTCCGATCAAATGATTTGGTCTTGACCAATCTGCGAGAAACTAATGACTAAGATTTTTATCTTTCAGATAATGTCGGGAAGTTTAGAACAGAATCTTTCACAATACAATCGGCTAAACGAGATTTGTACCGTGACTTCCTGCGTAATTATAAAATTGGCTACTATGTGTAAATATATAAAAAAAAACTCTGAACATTGATCGTAAAATTGTTTAATCGAGGAAAACGGGGTATTAAACGTATCTTGTACCCAGGTAATGCACCATAATTTTGAATGTTTATCGTGTACAAGTTTACTTAATTGCCTGCCGAATCTATATAATATCTAGCACATCAGTTAATATATATCCTAATCTCGAAAGCCACGTATATAATCTCGCATTCAAATTTAATGTAGGATAAATTAATATTGACCCGAATAATATAAATTTGCGAAATTACATTTAATTAAAATTCTTGTTACTCTTTATTCATTTATTCTTCATTTATAGCTTGATTAATAAATTAAATGCTTTAAACAAATGTGTAGATACATTCTGCAAGCGCCTTGTAAAAAAAAAAAAAAAAAAAATCTTGGAGCATCGAGGATGAACAGAACATGTCTTTGCAGATACTATCTAAAATATTTCGTCATCACGAGATATGTCTTTTCTTGTCAAATAAAATTGCAACGTTAAAAGCCTTGATGTTTCTGAGCCAAGTAAGAAGAAGCCAAGAAGCGCGCAATAAAATCGGGCTCGAGACGTTGCTCCTCTACGAGAAATCAATTAACGCTGTCTGAGTGCTCCAATAACATTAATTGATTTGTGTTGGGGAAGAGAAACGTTATCGTCGATAAATCCTTCCGCTTGGATCCGTATTCGAGAAAACTGGCGGAAAGGCGGTAACTGAGACCTCGTGCGATTCTGGGACGACACCCGTGCATCCACATGTACGACGTTGACGGAGCGTCCGCGACTAGATGCGCTCAACCAGCCAGCCAGCCAGCCAGGACGCGGATGCACCTCGCCGCGTTTGATAATGCATTAACGCCGGTGGATCAGAATATTAGCATAGCATACGCCCATCGCATTTGAATTGAGAGGCAGCGGCCCCTCGGTGTATAAGCAGAAGCGAGGAGAAGGCGTCCCAGCGTCTCTTTGTCATGCTAATATTACGGCATCCATCCCGACCGGGCGGCGGCGGTGGCGGCTCCGGGCGCAGAGAGAGAGAGACGATGACTCTGCATCGTTTACGCTCCTGTTGCGGCTTCGAACGCGCGTAGCCGCGCCGCGGTTCCAGAAACAGGGCCGCTTTCCAGCCTATCTCTCTCCCCCTCTTTCTTTCTCCGTGAATCTCTCCTACGACCTACGACGATTCCATTCGAAGAGTTGCGCCGCGCCTCTATCTCGAACGGACAAATGCACCTCGTGCGCTAGATCTGCGCGAAACGAGGTAGGATACATGACTGGGAATGATATGCAGAGTGTGATTCGAGAGGAAACCGCGAAGCTTGAAGAATGCGTTTAGGAGGTCGAAATAAATAAAAAGTAAACAAGCGAATAACTTCCACTCTCTGAATCGTTAAATTGATCGTATGTTTTTGTTGAAATTTGTTCTTGAACAAAGCGCGTGATTGCAACCTAATTGCGTTAGGTTGTAACTCGCGTGGAGAAACATATATACTTATTAATACTAATTAACTATCAATTTTCATTTGAACTCAAGCGCGTTTCGTATTAATTTAAGTATGATTCAAATTTTTAAGAACGCGCGAATTCATGCAACAACTCGTAACAGTATTTCAAACCGTGGATGATACAGCCGTGCGGCTTTTCATTCCTTCTCTGACATCTATCGTTATTTCAGAAGCAGGGCAATAGCCTTGCGATCTGCATGAATTTCCTATAATCATTTTAAGCCTGAAGCCCGTAGCCGCGTGCGCGTTCCTCGTGATCGCTGATGCTTACTGTATAGTGAAATAGATAAAGAGAATAAGTAATAGAGGCAATTCGATTTATCGTGAACTACGAGTGTAATAAATTGCTTGATTTTTCTGATAAATTATTTCTCTTTCGTGAGATACATATTACATTTCATTCGCGTGGATTTTTGACGAAAATCATCTATTAGAAGCAATATTAACAATAAGTATAAACAAACACTTTTTTAAAAACCTACGAATTTAAGCATTAACAAAAGAAAATACCATCGATTATCAAGCCCTGATCTTTCTAAGCATGAATTAATTTTCCTCAATTTGTTTTCGATAGCTTTAAATATTATAAAAAAAAAAAAAAAAATTATTTTTTTTCCATTTGTTCGTTATCAATATTATGTAGTATTTATACTAGTTTTCAACCTGTTATTTTGTTCGAACTCGAGGCATTTTTATCATTAAGAGGTTGAGAGAGTTAATTGTATGTTATTACGACACCGTTAGAATCTTTTCACGGCACAGAATCGGTATGTGTGTTAATTCAAAACGAATAAAGAAGAGATGGTGATTTCTGTCGAAGAATCGCGTAAAGTGACGCGGTGGTGAGAGGCGAGGATAAATCGATATATCGGTGATAGAATGTCGTATCGTCTGGCATCTTGAGAGCTATATCTCAGAACGATAGTACGTCGATCGTCGCGATCGCGATTAATGACACACGCCGGTATCGTGGGATAAATGTCTCTGCTACGTGTCGCCGATTACATACCTAGGGGAATGGACGCTGCGGGCTAAAACGGAATGCTCGTGGATGCTGACGCTGTGAAACGATGTGATCGTTCGAGAAAACAC